AGCCAGATGAGAGGGCATACCTTGGACGTGCCGTTTTTGATCGCCTTCTTGACGTTCAGCCAATGGCCAACATACAGTTCCTTCTCCTTCACGTGGAGCTCCTTCGCGTATTTTCGTAACGGAAGCACTGCATCGGGAAGGGCACGAAGAACAGGGAACAAGTCCAGCAGTGCTGCAGTGGTGGTACCGGTGACCTCGCAGAATTTCTCGAACCCGTGGAAGAGCTGCTTCAGCTTCGGGTCGTCGATGCTAGTCGTGCGGAAGCCAAATACCATCTGCGTGGTCAGAGAATTGGTGTACCGCCGGATGTGATCAATGAAGAACTCCGGCTTGTCCAGGAACCCAACAAGCATGGCTTTGTTCTCGAGGTCCTGGTATGGCACATACGTCCGGGCAGCTTTGATGTTCAAGTTGTTGTGAACGATCTTGCGAATCATGCGCCAGGTCTCGCCGTATTCCTGCAATACATTAGCTTATATTCGCGAATGCGCAATCTAGAAACGCTCGCAGGACGTACCATCAACAGCATGCGCAAGCCGCCGCTTACAATCCCACCAAGGTACATGTCTGGACGTGACGAATATATCCCACTCCGCTTGTCCAGCAGGTCCTTGATAGCCTTGTCGGACGAAAGCACAATCATCACCTTAGTCCCCAAGATAAGCGAGTAAACAGGGCCATACTCTTCAGCCCATTTCTGGAACTGCAGATGACCCTTCTCCTTGGGCATCAAATGAAGGTTCCCGATCACTGGCAGCGTCGGAGGCCCAGGAGGGTAGCCAGGCGGCCTCCGCCCCACCTTGCTGAGACGATGAGCGGCGAGTGCCACGAGGGCAAAAACAAATGCGTAGAAGGAGATGGACATGGTCGGGTGGGATGCGAAGGCAGCGAGGCTGGCAGCGAGTGCCTTGAAATATGAAGGTCGGCGACATGGCGCTAAAGCTGTCGCTGATGCATCTGGTCTAGGTGTCATGCAGCTCCCCGTATGGAAGGGGATCCAAGCCCCCGCCATGCAAACGGACAGAAACGAACATGGCTGCCCAACCCGAAGCTTTCCAAGTGCGCCACGCAAAGCTGGGCTGACTCGTGAAACTGAAGGCGTCAGGGCCCGCATCCTAGAGGAGCATTTATGGGCTCATTTCCTTTCGTAAAAGGGTAGTGATGATCGGTCCATTTAACGGTGAAGACGGGCGCCGGCTTGCGTCCTAGCCGGCTCAGAATTGTCTAGGCCTTTGTGAGGTTATCTCCGTGTCGCGCGCAACCCGTGATTCGGCAGTTTGCTGCGCTTCACCTCGTACATACAGATTTGTTGAGCGAGACATGGATGTCGGACCGTCCCCACGGGAACGGCTGAATCATGGCTAATCCCATTGCTGTGGATCGCGGAGACGGAGGCGGGGGCACGGGTTAACGGCGCGAAGCGATGCAGGGATCATAATTGGCCGGCCATGTTCCTTCACCATCTCGCGAGTCACGGGAGCGGTGTGACAAGGTACACCATTGGCAGCGCCAGGAATTTGACTAACCTTTTCTCCGAGCAGGATCTGCCAGTCCACGGCCGTCGCCATCTTAAGTGCCTCCTGCATATGAAACGTACTCGGAAAATGATTTTTGGACTTCGTTCTTGCACGGATGGGGAAGTGATGAGACGAACGGTGAATAGCACGGCCCCATTTATGGCGGTGTGCCTATGCGATGCGCCTTTGTATGGGGCTTCTTCGGTGGCTTTTGGCGTTCGCTTGGCGGGTTTCTTCTTATTGCGGGACTGGGCATGCTGACACCTGTTAGGCACGAGCTTGTACAGGGTCGCATACAGGGAGGTGCTTGAGGATGTCTTGAAGGGTTCGTTCTTTAGGGGTGAGCAGGCCGCATGCTGTCTCACTCTTCGTCTTGTTCTCGAGGTTCCTGCCATCACTATTTACAAGTGTTGTCCTCGAGTTATTCGCACCTCAGATATCGACAATCTCTGTTCCTCCAACGATGGCAGGCGAAAACTTCCTCGCGGAGGCATGGTCCGAGTTGGCCATTGCCCTCTGTACAATTGGTCTCCGTCTGTACTTTCGTATCACTCAAGTAGGAATCCGGAAGCTGGGAGTTGACGACTACTTAATGATATGCGCTGGAGTAAGTTTGCCGTCTGATCTTGCGAAAGCTTGCGTACTAACACCACACGTAGGCACTCTACGTCTGCGAGACCACAGCCGCGCATTACGTTGGCGTATGGCTTGGTCTTGCGAACAACAACATTACGCCGGAAGGCCGTGCGTCTCTAGACCCCAACTCGCAGGAGTGGAGGTTCAGGGTCAACGGATCCAAGACGCATATTGTGGGATGGTTCATGTACACGGCGCTTTTTTGGCTTCTGAAGTGCTGTTGGACCGTTTACTATTCACGCATGACGTACGTATGGCTGCAATCGTTTGGAAATGTGAGCATTGCTGACGGCCTGTGAAAGTGATGGCGTGCGCAAGATGGACATACGCATCAAAATGGCCTGGGTCTTCATTGGGTCGACATACGTCGCTGCAGTCTGTATGATTTTGTTCAAATGCTGGCCGTTGCATCGCCAGTGGCAGATCAATCCGGACCCAGGAAGTAAGTGTTGAGCCGAGGAGGAGTACTTCAAGAGCAACGCTAACTCCCAGCCCTTTTTAGACAATTGCCAGCCAGGATTCTCGAAGCTGCAGGTATCCTTCGTCATGGCCATCAACACGGCTACGGATCTATATCTGATGGCAATTCCAATACCCGTACGCGCTTTTCTGTCTACCCAACGCTCCCGCAATACTAATGACCTTTGGTAGATCATCTGGAAAGCCCGCCTCGACACGAAGCGCAAGATCTCCCTCATGGTTCTCTTCAGCGGCGGCTGGATCGTCATCATCTTCGGCATTCTGCGCTGCGTCACCCTCGTAACCGTAAGCCCGCCTCCCTCCCTCCACCCCCCACAACCGCCTGGCATCAGAGCTAATCCCTACCTCAGGTCGGCGCAAACGAACCCTCCGAATCCGGCCAATGGTCCGTCCGCGAATCCTTCGTCGCCGTCCTCGTCAGCAATGCCCCCATGGTCTTCCCCCTCTTCAAACGCTGGTTCTACGCCGCCACAAACCTCACATCCTCCGGTTTCCGCAGCAACACCCCCGGCCAATCCTACCCGCTCGACAGCAACATCAAGCGCACCGGCGGAGGAAACAGTCACGCGCGCTCTGGCTCAAACCCGCTCTCTGGCCGCCACAAGAAGAACTACCAGCACCCGTTGTCGATTCCGAATGACACGGCTTGGGGCAGCGATGAGCATATTGTGCATACAGGCGAGGGCGAGGGCAAGAAGGATGGCGCTTGGGATAAGAAGGTGGGGGATAAGAGTAGCAATGAGAGTTTGAGTACCGTGAGGGAGGAGGTTGGTATGACGGTTCCAAAGCGCACGGCGGCTATGCCGAAGAAGGGGAGTGGGAACGGGCTAAATGATATTGTGATGACGAGGGAGTGGGAAGTTAGTGAGACGTATGAGCAGGATGGTGGAAGGGGGAGGCATGTAAGTCATTTTGGGTCTGCGCCGCCCGGACGGTAGACGGTGCTGTGACCTCGACGGCCGAGTGTTGTGTGGAGTTGGAGATGTGATGCTAGCAGTTCTTGCAAAAGACCTGGGGTTCGAGGGCCCCGGACAGCACTCTACATTCGTGTTGATATATATGTATAATCAATCTTGAGACTGCCTTATCCGCGGTTTCGGTCCTTTTTCTCCCTTGGCGTGTTTCAATTCAACTCCGGAGAGTTTTCGCTGGCGGCCCGTTCCTGGGTCATGGTGTTGTTGCATGACTCGCTAGTGTGCGCCACAAAGCAGCAAGCTTTCCACTGCTGTCGTCTGGCGGTGAAGCGATGAATCTGACACGAGAAAGTGGGAGGTGTTGGTGGTTTCGACCGCGATCGAAATTAACCGGGGCGCGTTCGCATCCCATTAACACGAATCTAACCGTCCTAAAACACAAATCTTCACACCCCCTCCGAGACTTAGCATCCTACTCCGTACGCGGAAGTAGATATAGAAAGTGCTTTCTCGAACTAAGCGCCTAATGGAGAGCGTCGTTTTGCGATGCTGAGATACGGGGAATCAGAGCGTCTCGGCCTAACCTCGCAATGAATGGCACCGAGCGAGATACTAGCGAGGTCCATAATCAGATTCCTTCCCCTTTGACGCGACATGCGACTCGCTCACTCGCCCTGAAACCGCGCCACAAAACGGACGGTACTTCGCTCCCCGATTGCGCAAGAAGTACCTACCACAAGATGAACTAAATCGAGAATCTGGCGTATGTAATAGCAATGATTCCTGGCACTCCCCCCATCCTAAATTTTGGGTTCAGGCGGGCCATCTGCGCAGATTTGACGTCTGGATCTGGTTTGTGAAGCTTGTAACTTGCTCGTCAGATTGCGTATTGAGGATATTGCTGAACGTCGTGCTTTCTACAGACTGTTCCGTTGAAGGAGAGTATGAACACGGTGTGGTATTGAAGAGCGGAAAGCGTAGCGGCGGCTAGAAGCTGGAGGGATGAAGGTTTGCTTCGCGGCTGGAGTGTCCGTCCATTATTTGTGTGCTAATTATCTGCTGGATATTATCGGAATTGACTGATTAGGAATTAGTGCCCAACTCTCCTATACCACAGTGAACGTCTTTTCCAAGGCATCTTTGAAAGGGTCCTTCTCGTAACCCCACCACATGTCCCACCACAGGAACTCCACCAAGCCGATTCGTTCATCCATCTGCCTCTCTTCATCTATGCATAAAAGTACCATGCAACATATCTCGTGTTCAGTTACATCGTCCGACGCCCACATCTGCGCGAGGTGCACTCTGCCGTTGCCGTCTATTGCTCTCCCACCAATGCTATATTCATAGTCTTCATAATAGTCCTTCCGCCAGGCATAATTGCCGCAGAAAGGGCCCAGTAAGTCCTCTAATCTCGAGAGTCGCGATACCGGCTTAGTTACGAGATACTTTCGGGCGAGGGCGACCTCCACAGCTGGCGCTGTGAGCCAGAGAGCGCCAGATTCCAAATCGTCGAATTTATCCATCCCTGCGGTTGAAAAAGGGCCTTGGCCCGCGCGGTACAGCTGTACTTAAACATGAACGGCCAACACACCACACCCTTTATGGAGGCCCAAGACCAAGTGGGAGCCCGCCATATAGAGGGTCTGAGGTATGTGCGACCGTTTTTAGATCGCCATATCAGACCTCCAAGCAGCGAGTCTTCCCACAACTCATCCAGATAGTTTGTTTAATTGCGTGATGCGAAGAGGTGTGCGAGGCCTGACAAGGCCGGGAAGATGTCCTTTTCGTGGGTGGGGCTTCTTTTCGTGTACTGATCAATTAGGTCGTGCCACTGAAGTAGCAACTCGTGTTTTCGGAAATCCCTGTTGATTGAGATGGCTATGTTTGCCGAATATTGACTTCCTAAGATCTTTATCGCACCCGCATTTTGATTGAGACATACACAGCCAAACGATCTCATCCACGGTGAAGAGCATGACCCGAGGGGCTAGTATCATCTCTTGAAATACCTGCAATGTCAAACATGGTAAGCAAGCCCGAAAGTCGGTGCATCTCTCGTAAACTACTTACCCAGGCATGGGTTAAGAGTGGAAGATGTTTCCTAATTGCTTCGTTACTCTAATGATTAGAGCAAATGGTCTTTCGCACGAAGATATCGCGCTGTGAGCCCCGGAATGTGATCCTCCGAGAATAATACTGGGCTGAAGTGACTGGAAACAATCCAACTGAAGAGTCGTGAGGTGACGCTGCAGAGATTGTAAGATACGAGGACAGATATATGGACGCCATCCTGCTGCCTTCTCTTCGCCAGTCACCAAGGTTGTCCTGCACGATGCAGAGGGAGTCTATCCAAAGATACTCCAGACCAGGGTCATAGACGACTTTGATAGTCTCGCGAAAACTTCGACGCCCCAGCCATGACTCAACAGACATATTGCCCGCGCTCGTTCGGGCAGAAACGTGTAGTCTCACATCGTTGGGACCGTCAATCATCAGCACGCGGGACGGGAGGCGTGGCAGGAGGAGTTCGGGTGGAGAATAGCACATCGGGTGATTAGAGCTTGCGACGCAATCTTTTAACTGTCACTGTATCCATACAATAGTGTGCGATGATCCTTTGTCCCTAAAAACCTCTGGAATGGAAGCTGAAGTAAAATGGAGGGCTGGGGTCTCTAAATGCGGCCGGATAAGAACGAATTGGTGAGGGAATCTTTGGCGAGGATTGTAAACTTTAATCGACTACAAGGCCTTTTTACACGACGCCAATACATATTCAATATGTTCGTCTGGGGTAAAATCTTCGGAGGCCACGATGGCTTTTAAGCAGGGACAGCCTGAGCAATTCAGCTGCAAATGGACATCGCGAAATTTCACATAGGCTCCATTTTTCCAATAAGAATCTTTGTCAGACCTCAGATTTCCGCATACGACGCAAGTAGGCGTCCCCTCGTTCAAAGGCCACCAGAGCTTCACGGAATTCGGTCCGTTCTGGGCCTTGATGAGCGGCAGATCACTCAAGGTGTCAGGTCGTCTTTTGTCCTAGAAAAGAGCTCCAACTGATCCGGTGGAATGAGGGAGGAACGAGGAGGTCGGGTTGAAGCTGTAAATGGGTGGGCGTAGCCTAGATAAGTCATTCTGGACTGCATGCACATGCGGTGGCGGAGCAAGGCTGAACCCAATGCCACATACATCCTGGTAAATCAAATGATGTTCAGCGTTTTGGAAAGAGGGTAGTATGGCGAGGACATCAAATGTCATTGATCCGATTGAGGTTGTGTGGTGAGGAACGAAGAGATGAAAGGAAAGGAAAGGCTCAGAGGGGCTAGCGTGAAAACTTAATTAAGCAACACGGCTGCTGACGTAATTGGCCATCGCATCTCAAGAGCGCTCCCCTCGTCTTACCATCCCACCTATCATCTATACTGCCAACCTTCGCAGCCTTTTCCGTTTGACCGTATCCCTACAATTGATCAGCGAGCCAGTCGCATCAAGGTTCACAAGAAGGACTATTTGACGTCGCAGCGCCGATCCCAAGCTGAACAAATAACAAATCCACTCACAGCAACAGCCTAATCAACCTCTAGCAAGCGCCCCCACCACACCACCTCGACGTCACACCCTGTGGCCTTATCCACGCCTACGCGCCTGACCGCCTCATTGCACCCACTATTGCCCACGCCCTTCCGCCGTAGGGGAACCGCCCAAGCCACTCGCTGACAGCACCCCACCCACCACGCCCGTCAGCGCGCCCTCACCAACCCACCCACCGCGGCGGAGCCTCCAGACACGAGTCACTGCCGGCCTTATCTGGTCTCCAGCGCATCATGTCATCAACACAAACTCGCAGCACCACCCTGCGCCAAACCACACACGCCTTCTGCCACGCCCTCATCAACCCGCCCACCCCATCCATCCTCCTCACAACCCACTTCACCAGCGCCCCCAGCATACATGAGCACGGTCCCACCTGGGCTCATGCACGTCTCCCCTTCCTCTCCAAAACATTTTCAGGAAAACTAGCCTGCGAGGAGTACTTCCGCCTCCTATCCGACGTCCTAGAGATGCAGCTACCCGCGGACGCGTTCCCGGGACTAGAAGGGTTCATCGTAGATGCGGAGGCGGACATGGTGAGTGTAGTAGGAAAAGGGCGGTTTGTGAGTCGGAAGACAGGGACGGGCTGGGACGAGCAGTTCATATATCGTTTTGGGGGGTTTGATGGTGAGGGCAGGGTTGGGAGATGGGAGATTTGGGCGGATCCTTTGAGTGCGTGGGAAGCGGTTGGGGAGTAGATATCACGGTGCCTTGGGAATGAACAAAGGCGAAATGATAGTCGATATAATATTGAATGTTTGGTGGAGCGTAGCCTCTATTTCCGTAGAGTAGGCCGACTGCTATAGTAAAGGTAAGAAGAAGCGCAACGAGCGGACTCCGTATCCTCGCTATCAAGAGCTGAGTGTCCTGAAGCGTTCTCTACTTGTAAACACCGAACGCCTGGTATCCATGCCCGATCCCGTTGTTCCTATGCCATCCGTAGCCCTAGTCGTAAATGATTTCCGTCCAAGGAAACTGGAGCGTCGCCGTCGCCTAAAAGAAATATAGAAAATACTGCCTCGGTCAAGCCCATCATCCAGAAGGGTCCCGACACCTTTCAGCATATACCCGAGGCTGCAGTAATGCAGAATTTGCGACGCTTTCACCCAAGCTTCCGCGCTCTTACTCCATAGCCGTAAACAAACACACCTGCCTCGCCATCTGACTCGCAAGCAACAACTCGCGAAACACCTGATCCACCCCGCCCGCGAAGTGAATCGTATAACTCTCGACCTTCCCCTTCCTCTTCTTCTCGCCCCACACAAGCTTCGTCGGCTTCGCATCATCCACGCGCTTCCCACTCCTGCTGCCAGGCTTTGCCCAATCGCGCTGGAACTCATACAGCGTCTCCGGCATCACGTCGTCGTGCGGGTCTCCCGGCTTCCACACAAACCGGCGCCCTCCGTATGTGAAGCGCCGCGGCGACCACGGGATCTTCTGCTGCCGATCGGGGTACTCCTTTATGGGTTGCGAGAACGGCCCGCGGAGGTGTATGCAGCGGGATTTGTACGCAGCTTTGGCGTCGCGCTTGTCGATGCCGGAGAGTAGGATCGAGATGCAGGGTTGCGGGTATTCGGCGGCGCGGAAGAAGTCGGCGGCCGTGACCTGGTTGTCGCCATCGCGGTGCGAGGCTTCGAGGAGGTAGAGCGAGTATTTGTCCGAGTATTCACGGGCTGTGTAGATGTATTTGCGGCAACCGCCCGAGGTCCATTCGCGCGTGCGATGCAGGTGGTAGGTTGTGCGTGGTTGCGAGGGGTCCAGCATTGTGTGGTAGGGGATGTCGGGGGAGGGGAGCTCGTCGTACATGGGTGTGTAGGAGAGGGGCGAGTAGGAGGCTTGCCAGGTGAGGAGGTTGTGTACCTGGGGGTGGTGTTAGTTGTTGTCCGAAATAACGTGCGATGCCCTGACGGAACCCAGATACGCTTTGCGAGGTATGACCGGCGAACGCGTCTATAAGTTCTTGTACTAGGACTGTGCCACGGGGTTGCAAAGGACCGGAAAATTCCACATACTGACGACAAGCTCCCACTCTCCTCGTCCAGGTCGCCATTCGCACCCCAATGATTCGGCGCCGGCACGAACACACACTCGTTCCCGTCCTCATCCGTCACACCGCTTCCGCTCTCCAGATGCGGCCGCAGCGCCCGCTGCCGCTCTCTGTGCAGCGTGATTTGCGTCTTCACGATGCGTCGGTGCTCGTCCGAGTTCTCGTCGGGCGAGATGCTGGCGAGCGAGTGCTCAATCTCCTGCTCGAGGGCCATGGCGGCCGCCTCGTGCTGCATATACGACGTGTCGTAGAGCTGTGCGTGCTCGGATTCGAAGGCGGAGCTGCGCAGGAGCTCCAGGTGCTCGCGCGTCATGGTCACCATTTTGCCCATGGCGGCGCGGTGGTCGTTGTCCGTCTATCGGCGAGATCGTGCTCCGTAGAGGTATCGTGGAAGAAGAGCCAGGGCGACAGGGCGGAAGAGGGTGAGGTGGCAGACGGATAATTCGTATGCGGAGTGCAGCCGCAGACGTGCGCGAGCTTACATGTCCTGGCGCTGGCAGAAGGAGGGCTGAAAGGCCATGTAGGTGAGCGCCCAGGCGGTAGCTGAGCGGGTTGAGCGGTGCCAGCCAGACGGGCGGCTTGAGGGGCCTGCCGTAATCCGCATCCCTGCCCCCGGTAGCACACCCACAATCATCAGCCTGTAAAGCGTTACCTCGTCGCCTGTCCCGGCCCCGCCAATCACCCACGTCCTGCCTATATTGTGCGCAATGTAACTGTCGAAATGCAGTCAATTAATTGCGCCGACAGTCCTGTGGGTGTTGCTATCATTAGGTGTCTTCATATCTGCTCTTTGGGTAGGGCAGACTTCAACGCGAGGTGGCGTGGTGCGCGGAATGGGAGGAAAGAACACAGCATGAAAAACACCCCCCAACAGCACCATCCCGCGTACACATGGTGATGCGGCGACGCACAATCAGATGCAGACGTAAGACACCGCAGTCCTCCCAATCCCAACGCTTCGCTAGCTACACAACGGCGCTCATCCGCGTGCGCCCAAGCCAGCAAGGCGCCTAGTCGGACTCCGAACGCAAACACCGCACATCAGCATGCAACCTGGTCCTCCATTCACAGTCCTCCCTCCTCCACCCACTATCCTCAAAGCACGCATGAACCTCGCATACTGCCCGATTAGCTTCTTCTCGAAGAACATGAAACCTTCGATACGGGGCATTTTAGTCGGCGAGCCAGCGTTGTGCCCATGGATGCTGAGACCCCCGATGACGCTGGACATCGTGGGCAGCTTACCCCGCGAAAGGGTTGCGATCCCTTCCCTTCGGCTCCTCAAGGCCGGCGCCGTTGGCATGTGTCAGCGTGCTTGGAGTCGGGTAGGGAATAGCGCGAGTGGGGGTGGTGTCCGCTAGCTGGAGGACTGGCGCGGCCTGTTGTTGC